AGACCAATCACAGCAGCAGACTGGGCCATCTGACCAATCAGAGCAGAGTAGACCAATCACAGCAGCAGACTGGGCCATCTGACCAATCAGAGCAGAGTAGACCAATCACAACAGACTGGGCCATCTGACCAATCAGAGCAGAGTAGTCCAATCACAGCAATAGACTGGGCCATCTGACCAATCAGAGCAGAGTAGACCAATCACAGCAGCAGACTGGGCTATCTGACCAATCAGAGCAGAGTAGACCAATCACAGCAGCAGACTGGGCCATCTGACAAATCAGAGCAGAGTAGACCAATCACAGCAGCAGACTGGGCCATCTGACCAATCAGAGCAGAGTAGACCAATCACAGCAGACTGGGCCATCTGACCAATCAGAGCAGAGTAGACCAATCACAACAGACTGGGCCATCTGACCAATCAGAGCAGAGTAGACCAATCAATCACAGCAGCAGACTGGGCCATCTGACCAATCAGAGCAGAGTAGACCAATCACAGCAGCAGACTGGGCCATCTGACCAATCAGAGCAGAGTAGACCAATCACAGCAGCAGACTGGGCCATCTGACCAATCAGAGCAGAGTAGACCAATCACAGCAGCAGACTGGGCCATCTGACCAATCAGAGCAGAGTAGACCAATCACAACAGACTGGGCCATCTGACCAATCAGAGCAGAGTAGACCAATCACAGCAATAGACTGGGCCATCTGACCAATCAGAGCAGAGTAGACCGATCAATCACAGCAATAGACTGGGCCATCTGACCAACCAGAGCAGAGTAGACTCTCAGAAAGGAGGGTTTTAGAGAGACCGGGTCCTTTATCAAACCGTTTCAGACACTGAGAGGAAAATGCTGCAATGTATATTATGAGAAAATGAATGCATGCAAACCTATTGAAGGAGCCTTTAAAATATTATAGAGGCACTATAAACTTATTTTGCTTTCCTTTCATCATTTTGTCATAATTCTGTTTTAGTGTTAGTTACATCAGCTTTTAAGGCTATTTGGTTTCACACTTGATGTGCACGGTTTCTGGTTCCCACTGTGACAGTTTGAGCGTTTTAATGCGTGGCGGCTGTTTGTTTCCAGAGACGTTTGTTTGTTAGTAACCGTGTGTCTGTGAGGCGCTTGTATAATGTCTGTGCCTCGGGCGCTCGGAGCCGTGAAAACTCCAGAATAGACAGTCTCAATCGCATTCACACTATCATACCAGACGCTGGCACTCTCGGATAGACTCATAGAGCTCATGCAGTCATAGGGATCCACTGTTTATTAACTTCACTCTAAAGCTTAGTCACACCACACGCATGTAAGGCATCAGGGCAGACTTCAAACACACAGTCACAAATATACTGATTCATAAACAAATGAGATAATATGAAACTGACATCTATGACATCACTAATAAAATATGACATAATGAAAAGGAGATCCACATTTGGATTAATGGGTTGACGCATAACATGCCCATGAACATTTTTTTTATCTACATCAGTATTGTAAATGAAAGTTTATAGGAATAAAAGTCAGTCTTACTATAATTATCTGACCATTTCTGTGTTTTCACTATTTTAAACTGCTTTTTGCCTCTAGTTCCTGTACTGTGACCATTATGTTTTCATATTTAAAGGACAAATATTCAATATACACGACTCACATGCTGCATTTATTTGATCAAAAATACAGTAATTAAAAGGAATATTGTAAAATAATCAAATTTAATTTAAAAGAACAGTTTTTTTTTATTTGAATATATTTCAAATGTTATTTATTTCTGTGATGCAAAGCTGAATTTTCAGCATCATTTCTCCAGATTTCAGAGTCGCATGATCCTTAAGAAATCTTTCTGATATGCTTAATATTTTTGAGGAACCAGTGATACATTTTTTTCAGGATTTTTTGATGAATAGAAAGTTCAAAAGTACAGCATTTATTAGATTTTTTTTTTTTTTTTGTAACATTATAAATGTTTTTACCGGCACTTTTAATCAATTGTATGGAATGCATCCTGCTGAATAAAAGTATTTAAAAATTTACTGACCAGGAATTGTCTATTTGTCTCAATAGAAGTAAAAGCTGAAAGAATTAGCAAGGATATGTCAACTTCCCAAATGCATTTCATGTCAATTATCCACATACCTTGCAGAGAACACACCCATATTTAAAACCTTTAAAAAGGTAGGCTTGAAAAATTTCATCATAATAAATACATTAACAGGTGAGGACAGCATTGAAAATCATTATGCAATTGCATAATACATAGAGGCTTCTTCTTCTTTACATGCCTCAAACAAACGGCACATGGGACGTGGGACGTGTTACTAGACATTGAGACTTTGTGAAGATCACAGCACAGGTAATGTGGTCTGCCCTTTCAGGCTCATACATGTGGTTATTTTGCCGATGTGACGCACAGCGTTGCATTGTGAGTGGTAATCGGTGCATCCATGTGGGATTTACTGTCTTACTTGCAACTGTGTATTGTGGAGGCAAGCCTGAGCTTTTCCCTCCTTTTTTTCATTAGCGATTGAAGAGCAAGATGATTACAGTTTTTAAACATCAAGGGTATAATTATGTAATGAAGAGGAGAATGAGCCTGTACTTTTTAAGTTCTAATGTTCCCCGTCACATGGGAGGCTCAGGCAGCTGTGATTTCGGTGATGTCTGTCGCTTTGCACGGTTTACTGATGCCTTCTGTTCTGTTTGGCATCTGAGAGATCCAAAGGCCATTTGATAGGCCTACGTCAACATTCTCAGAACTGATACTAAGCAACATTTCAACTTCATAACATGCCTTAAAGGTGCAGTAAGTGGTTTTCTGAGGGTGTGTTTACACTTGGCATGTTTGGTTCAATTTAAATGAACCCTGGTGTGATCGCTCTGTTAGTGCGGTTTATTTGAATGAGTGTGAACGCTGCCAGTGTCATCCAAACACTGGTGCGTACCAAACAAGCAGATCGCTGAAAAGATTGGCCTCGGTCCTTCCAAACGAACTCTGGTGCAGTTCGAATGATATATGAACGCAACACGAACCAAAGACATGTAAACGAACCAATAACGGGACAAGATGCAACCCTAAAAAAGACAGGATGCTCAAGCATACCTGTTTTTTCTTGTCATAGTCATGATGTTGACAAGAGTCTCCTCACAGTAGATCTATGTTTGTGTGTGTGACAGAGGGATTCCTGATGCTTTTTTGACTCCTTTACATATTTATAAGCTCTTCACGAGTTCGCAGCTGGTCGGGAATACCATCATATGTAGGCTACACACATACAACGAGCGCATTTATCCTAGCACACAGCATTGTTTTGGATGTTCGGTAAGTTCGAAATATATGTAAAAGCCAACCAATCAGGTTGTGAACATATCCCCATGCCTTTTGGTTCGGTATCTTTAGGTTCTGTTTTAAAATGCCAATGTGAACACTAAGCGTACAAGAACAAATTTTTTTTTTTTTTGTTGGGGGTCCGGACCAAACAAACCAATCGAACTGAACTACAAGTGTGAACGCTGTTGAAAGTGGATCACATCCGAGCAGCACAACACACTTGTGGCCAATCAGCAGTAGGGGGCGTGTCCACTCATGATGTGGGAGGAGAGAGAGAAAGCAAGAGGGAGATTTGAAGAAAGACTGTAGAAAGAGAGATGGCTGAGAGACATTACAAAAGAGAAAAGGTCAGAGGAACATCACTGGAAAAAGTAGGGTTATGATCAGCCCAGAGCTTTAGGACCCGCGTTAAAGGGATAGTTCACTCAAAAATGAAAATTATGTCTTCATTTACTTACCCTCAATTTGTTCCAAACCTGCATGAGTTTCTTTCTTCTGTTGTACACACACACACAAATATTTTGAAAAGTGTCGGTAACCAAACAGTTGACGGTAGCCATTGACTTCCATAGTATGCTACCATCAGCTGTCTGGTTACCAACATTCTTCAACGAACATCCAACTCTCGCTTGTACTCTTGTGTACTGTATGTTCATTTTTTGTTTTTCCTTGTTGTTTGTTTGCTATCTTCGCATTTTTTTTTCACAAAGCATTATTTTGCTTCGCTTCAGCTATGATAAAGAGACATCCACTCTTGCATTGCGTGTTCGTGCATTTTGGTGGCGGAGCAATGAAGGGAGGGGTGTGTTTGTTTGGGTTGAAAACTTGAAATATCAAAAAAAAAAAACTCAGAAATTGCTTACTGCACTTTTAAACGTCCTCTATAAAAATAAATGTGGATCTCAAAAAGCTCTGATATGTGATTAATCATAAGGAATGGCACAAGATCTTATTTTTGTACTTACTGTAGCACTTACCAACTGTTTTGATTGGATTTGTTTTACTGTATTTCTCATAGCAGAAATATATCCATATATCCTTCCATTTTCTATGTAGGGTCACAGGGACAAACAGAAACAATGTCACTATAGTAGATAACTGTCACATTTCTGAAAAATACCTCTGAGCATGTAAAGCTTTAATAGTATGTCAAGTTAGAAAAAAAGGTCTGAGAGCAAAATTAAAAGAATCTGAAGGAAAACTGGAGGGCTTATTATTATTACTACTATTATTATTATTACAAATAAATCAACTGGATCTCTGGAAACTCAGTCAATCTCATCATAACATGAGGGCTGTTTCTGCTTTGCATTTTCTCTTCACCTGAAGAAGCCGATCTAATGACAGAAAACAAATAAACATTCCTTTAGTAACAGACATTAATTATCATAGATCGTTTTGTATCGTTTTTACAGTCTTATAAAAACAGACTGAACTGGGAATAATTTATATTTCAGTGTAACTATTCCAGAAAGAAGAGCTTTTTTATTGAAACTATAAATAACAGCGCCATCTTGTGTTCAGTCTTCCACAATGTACCTAAAAACAGATCTGAGGCTTGATAGCAAGTTTGTTTCATACATTTTACATCTCGACTACAATGCTGTCTAATCATTGTGTCATTGTATGAAGTACAACGTTGTATGAAGTTTAATTTCTATCTTTCAGGATGTGTGTATGAGTTGAGCTAGAGCTCAGGCCAGTAATGGAGGCAGGACTGAACTGCAGCTCTCACTGTGAGTCTGGCGTCTGCTTCATCGACCCAGGAGTGAACAGTCAGCTGGGCTGGGACGTCCTGCAGAGACTCTGTGCGCTCTCAGCGGTACATACACACACTTACCTAAGTGCACCACAACACACTCAGAGACAAGTACATTTACATTTAGTCTGACTGAGACCACTAGTGAAAATGCTTCTATTTTCTAATTTGCTAATTTAAACGTAAGTCTGTAAAACCCTTATGTTCATTAAAGTCTATACCAATCAAAAGTTTGGGGTATTGGTATATTTTTATTTAGCAAGGAGTCAATGATGCATTAAATTGATCAAAAGTGACAGTAAAGACATTTCTAATGTTACAAACATTTCTATTTCAAAGAAATGCTGTTCTTTTGAACTTTCCATTCCTCAAAAATCCTGAAAAAAAAAAAATTGAACAGCTCATCTGTTTACAACATTGATAATAATATGTTTCTTAAGCAAGAAAGCGGCATATTAGAATGATTTCTGAAGGATCATGTGACACTAAAGACCGGAGTAATGATGATGCTGAAAATTCAGCTTTGATCACAGGAATAAATGACACAAAATAAAATTCAATAGAAATAGAAAATATATTCAAGTAGAAAACTATATTTTAAATTGTAATAATATTTAACAGTATTACTGTCTTTACTGTATTTTTGATCAAATAAAGGCAGCCTTGGTGAGCAGAAGAGACTTCTTTCCCAAACTTTTGAACTTTTGTATTAAGTCTATTTTGCTGTTTGTCTGTGTATAGAGCGGTGTGGGTGTCCAGAGTCAGTCTCTGTCTCCTGCTCTTCGGGCTGTAGTCTGGACGCTGCTCTCTTGTGGGATTCTGTTGGCTCTTTTCTTCCTCATTTTCACTCTGCGCTTCAAAAACAACAGGTATGAAATGGCTGGATCTCTTCTTGTACTCATAGCTCTCAATCATGACTTATATGACTAATTTATCACTTTACAGGTGGTCTTTTTGTCCACTAACTAAAGCCACCAACATGAATTTTGATTCTGTACCTCTGACACAGGATAGTGAAGATGTCCAGTCCCAATCTGAATGTGTTGACTCTCTGTGGCAGCCTCCTCACATATAGCAGCGGCTTCTTATTCGCCGTGGAGGAGAGAGATCCGCTGTCAGGAGCAGGATCAAGAGCTGTCTTACAGGTACACACACACACACACACACACACACACACACACACACACACACACACACACACACACACACAAACACTGGATTCCATGTTTTCTGGGGGCTTCCCATAGACATAATGATATTTATTCTGTACAAACTGTATATTCCCCTAACCCTAAACCTACCCATCACAGAAAACTTTCTGCATTTTTAGATTTAAAACACTTCATTTAGTATGATTTATACGCCGTTTTCCTCATGAGGACCAAAAATACATTTTACTGGTATTACTGCCCTTGTGGGGACATTTGGTCCCCATAACTTAGGGAATACCAGGTTCACACACACACACACACACACACACACACACACACACTTGGTTTATTTTGATTTTGAAAGTCAACTCCATCAGATTACACAAGTAAGACCCCCTTCTCTTTGTACCTCACTTCACTTTAGTATATTTAAAGCAGTCTTATAAATCACACAGCTGGCTTATTATTCTGAATTGCTAAAGGGCTGTTTACATTTAACAACTCCATAAATCTCCTTTAATGCACCAAACACGTTTAACAGAATTCTTGTTGACTTTAAGCTAAGGCTTCTCAAACCCTACATCTGTGATTGATTGCATATCCATTGTTTATACTTGAAATGACTCTGGATTTAGTTCTTTGAATGTGTAACATTATGTGAGTGTGTTGATTGTGTGTTGCTGTTTTGGATAGATTAGCAGTGGTTTAAAAAAGAAAAAAGAAAAGAAACACTAGTGTTCAAAACTTTTGGGTCAGTAAGATTTTCTTTTTTTTAAGAAATTACTTTTCTTCTGCAAGGATGCATAAAATTGATCAAAAGTCACAAAATGTATAAGATTTCGGTTTCAAATAAATGCTGTTCCTTTGAACTTTCTGTTCACCAAAGAATCCTGAAAGGAATGTATCATGTTTTCCACAAAACTTTGTTTTCAACATAGATAATAATAAGATATGTTTCTTGATAAGAATGATTTCTGAAGGATCATGTGCAAACTGAAGACTAGAGTAATGATGCTGAAAATTCAGCTTTTTCACAGGAAGAACTTACATTTGAAAATATATTGAGTGAAAACTTCTCGGGTTACTTGACTGTAACCCTGTTCCCTGAAAACGCGGGAACGAGATGCTGCGCTGAAGCATCTTTGTATGACCAGCTGTGAATAACGTGTGTAACACGTCAATGAGGTCAGAGGCTATATTTGTGCCACAGGTCCTCAGGTATCATTTTGTCTGAAGAGCTGTCCCGGGACATCCTCAGGGCGGCAATGTAGCGCAGCATGTCAATCCCGCTTTTTCAGGGAACAGGGTTACAGTCAAGTAACCAGAGATGTTCCCTTTCAAAAGCTACTTTCAATACTCCGCTGAAGTGCTTTGGGAGCAAGAATACCCCAACCGCCGCACTAGTGGAGGGAGCCCTTGCACTGAGAATGGTCTCTATAACTTCAGGTGAAAGCCCAGTGTCCCTCAGTTGGTACCCTTCAAGGGGCCAAACATCGGGCTGGGGATATTGTCCTCTGCCGTCCCGGAGAGATATTATCTCCGAGAACCAAACTCTGACTTGCAGAACTGAGAACGAACACAGACATGCAAATTAGTGTGTAGTGCTACTGTGTATGTTTCTAATTTTCTCTGCTTTTATTTATACTGTTGTTTTGTATTTATTATCATTTTCAAAAATGTGTCATGTAGGAATAATAGGCTACAGAATCATCCTTTTTATTTAATGTGGTGGATAATCCTTACCGTTTTTGTGAATGGTATCATGTTTAATGAGGTCCATACGATGCGTTTCTCTTGACTACGTTGAGGGCGTATATAGTCTGTATATTTTTGAAAATAGCATTTTCATGAAGAGGATCTTGGCCCGACGGGCCCCCTAGTTAAGGCGGGGCCCCAGGTGACCGCCTAATGGACGGGCCGGCTATGCTGTGATGTCGTTTGAGTGACAGGTTGTCCCACCCTCGCTCCAGTAAACACAACTTCAGAGAAGACAACTGCAAGAGTTAGTTAGAGGAAGTTATTTTGATAGAGTATAACGGTGGCACAACAATAATGATGTGTGCACAGATAAATCATTTATTTCATTTTTTTAAAAAAAATGTAATTGCCAAATTTGATTTCATGGTTACTTTAACAAACAAACAGTGTCATGATTTGTATGGTTATGTACGTAAACACAAATGTGACCAATGTGAATGTATGTGTCATGTCACTACAACCAGAGCAGAATTAAAAGCGGTTCTCTTGTTAAATGTGCGTATCTTGTTCTGTACCATCTCAGGCGCAGATGTGGACACTGTGTATCGGCAGCTCTCTAGTGTTCGGACCCATTCTTGGGAAAACATGGCGGCTCTACAGAGTGTTCACTCAGCGCGTGCCTGATAAGAGAGTGGTGAGTTATGATATGTCTGTGAATGATTAGGCTATGAATTATTGGTTGATGTCACTGGCTTCATAATAGTGTTCTGTTGTGTTTCAGATTATTCGAGACATCCAACTGATGGGTTTGGTTGCGCTGCTGGTCCTAGTGGATGTTGTTGTTCTGTCAACATGGGGTCTGACGGATCCGATCAAGTGCTCTCGGTCTGTTAGTGCTACGGTGAAGGTATGCTTACTCACCCGGATTTTTATGAACAGCTTTTTTTTTTAGAGAATTTTCACACAGCTCTTTTCTAAACAATGACAATTCAAATGGACCATGTCTGTCATGCTTCAAAAATCACCATAAAAGCACTATAGAAGTAGAAGTAGGCCTACTATATTTCAAGCCTTGTGGAAACGAAGTTTTGTGTGAGATAAAGACCCACATTTATTAAGAATTTATTCACTTCATTCTTAAAGAGAATATTTTTGAATAGCCACAGCCATTATTCCTATATATAGGGATGTAAAGAGCCATAAAAAAGGAGAACTGATGCAAGCTCCAATGATTTATGTAAAGTATTTTGTGTTGTTTCTTCTTTATGTCAGGTAATAGAGCTGGACGCATCGTATTCTCTGACCCAGCTAGACTCCTGTTCTTCTCTCTACTCGGACCTGTGGGTAATCCTGCTCTCCGTGCTTAAGGTAAAATTCAGCTTTGCCATCATAGGAATGAGTTACATTACATTAAATATATTACAATTTGAAACATTGTTGTAATAAATATTTTAATAATTTCACAATATTACTGTTTTTACTTTATTGTATTTTATCAAGTAAATGCAGATACTTCTTTGAAAAACATAAAAAAATTAAAACCTTACAGACCCCAAACATTTCAACAGAATAGTGTATTTTACATATATACTGTACTGTAGAATGATTGCTTGATAGAAAATGAAGCCTTTTTTAGGACTATAAAAAAAATCACTAATGTGACCAGTGTTATTTTAGAATCATTGAAATACTATTATAGTTGTATTTATATTTTGGTTTTAGTTTTTATTTTAATACTATTTTAGATATTTTAATACTATTTAAATACATATTTAAGTTTTTATTTTAATATTTACTGTATATATTACATGGTTTTGGCATTTTTATTATTATTATTAATTTAAATAGGTCTGTATAGATTTTTTATTGTTTTATTTTAGTTTTAGTTATTTTAGTATATCAAATTAAACTAAATTAAAATGAAAGATTGTGCCTTGGCAAGTAGATTAAAAAATGTATTATTTTTTATTTATTTTATTTTATTTAATATTTATTTTATTTCAAGAAACATTTTTTTTTGTATGGTTTTAGCTAAAGTTAGACCCATAAAGCCCAAAGTACACTTCAGTTTGGGGTGGAGCATAGTAAAAAAATGATATAAATATTATTGTGATATAAATATAAATATGATATTGTGGAAATTGCAGTAAATTGCAAGAGACAACTTCTCACTTTGAGCACACAAATGCGTGTGTCGTTTATTTATAGAAAGAAAAGTAAATATAGCAAATGGCGCTGACATGCGTCCCACGTGAGCACACGTTCAGAGTATTTAAAGTGACCGCGATCCCTGAACAGTCGTGAAGAACAGAGTGCTGTGTTTACAACCAACAGTGTATAGAACTACACTTAACAAAGGTGAATTATGTATCTTACATGCACCACAATATAATAAATATTAAAACAGTAAGATGCATTGTGGAACCATAAGAATCTAACGACAATAAAAAAGGCTCAAACACAAATGGGCTTGTTACAGTAATGAAATGATTTTAGTTTTAGCATTAATAGTTTTATTAAGCAATTATATACATTCTGTTTCATCTTTTGGTTTTGGGTTATGATTCACCACAAACAAGCCTAATAGTTTACATTCTCATCATTCATTTGGAATTCACAAAATATTCGGTATTGATAAAAACCATAGTTTATATGCTATTTTGCTTCACACTGAAATCCCTCTCTTTTTTACAGGGCAGCCTCCTCTTGTATGGGACGTATCTTGCCGGCCTGACAAGCAATGTCAGCTTACCTCCAGTAAACCAGTCTAGGACCATCATGGGTGCTGTCTGCCTGGTGACCATGTCGACCGCTGTGGCCGTGCCCGTCTCTCTTTACCTGTATGCCTGGCCCAATGTGGTCTACAGTGTAGTGTCTGGAGCCATCTTCATCTGTACAATGGCCATAAACTGCCTGCTGTTTGTCCCTCAAGTACGTCCTGGTCAATTCACAGCCAATATCTGATGATTTGCAATCAAACTCTGAGTCAGTCTTTTGTCCAGACATTTACATTTTTGGATCTGAAAAGGGTTATGTTGAGGTTCAACCAATCAATGACTCTAACACAGGAGTTGAAGCAGGTGGCGAGTCAGCATTCAACATCAAATGTGTTACGCAATGTGTCCTGTACATTTGGAGAGGACACTGCTAATGTCAGCTCTTTATGAGATTGAGCATAGATCAGGTGTGTGTGTGTGTGTGTGCCTTTGTGTGTGTGCCTGTGTGTGAGTGTTTAAGACAAAAAGACTGGCATATAAAAGGGAAACATTTGGTTAATGAATCACACAGACCTGATGATGCCTTAACTGAAGTTATTGCACAATAAATAAATCATTTAATAACTGGACATTAGCATGAAACACTCAGTAAATGTATATAATTGAATACCCCTGCTGTACCTGTACCTATCTACTTAATCATTATTATTATTCTTCCCTCTAGCTGACCCAATGGAGACAGTTTGAAGAGGAGACAAACTCACATCCCAGTCAAATGGCCAAATACTTCAGTAGTCCTAGCAAGTCCACAAACTCCATGTACAGCGAGGATGAGATCTATTATCTACTTGGTGAAAATGACTCCATGAAAAGACTCATCAATGAGGTACCAATAGTTATTACATTTACATTGTGTTATTCAAAGCAAAGTGATGTTCTTTTCAAGGGACAATATGAGGTATTGCATAATTAGGCCTATTATTTTTACCTTTAGTACAAGTACAAACACCATAGTAGAGGGGTATGTGCTATTCTAAAGCTCAAAGTTTACTTGTCTCGCAGACAGCACGCATGATGTAATTTTCATCATAAGCACCAGTCTTTCTAATGTCCACATGCAGCCCAATCTTTCTGTTTGCTCAGAAAAACTGCGTATGTGTTAGTGATTGGCTGCTCAAAAACAAAGGTCCACTAGATAGTGTGCATGCAGCGAACACATCCATCCGTGCTGGACAGACAGACAGACAGACAGACAGACAGACAGAGACAGACAGACAGACAGACAGATAGATAGATAGATAGATAGATAGATAGATAGATAGATAGATAGATAGATAGATAGATAGATAGATAGATAGATAGATAGATAGATAGATAGATAGATAGATAGATAGATAGATAGATAGATAGATAGGTAGGTTTGGTTCCTGGTTTGGTTAAAGGCCGTGTTGCAGGGTTAATTTTTCAACTAATTTGTGCAATTTGCTTGTTGGTAATAAACATTTAAACTGTTATCCATTGTATTTTATGTTGTTGGGTATCACAAAACGGAATATAATACGAAAAAGTAGGTACTATCTTACAGCGGTTTGCAACGATTCTCCTTTCCCCCACAATGCATTGCATTACGTCACCTTGGGGAGAGAATTTACCAAAGCCCTCCTTAAAAGCATTGAGGCTACGTTTACACATAGCCGGGTATTTAGAGAAACGAATATTTTCCCCCTCTCCGTTTTCAAAAATAACATCGTACACACACCCGCATAAATACGCCGTCGAGCGCCATCATAACTATGCCAAACCTATGGGCGGCAGTGTAGGGAGAAGGATAAAGCCATGCAAGCCAATCAAAATCCTCAGAATCGACAAGAGAGAACCTAAAACCCCGTTTCTCCAAGTTTACACGGCAACACATAACCGGCGTTTTCAGAAATCTCCACTTTGGCCGGAGTTTTTAGAAATAATCGTTTTCTGTGATTAAAAACGGCGTTTTCGTGTAAATGAGAGGGCAAAACGCAGAGAAATATCTGCGTTTTCCCATCGTGTAAACGGGGCCTGAGAGTGACTAGAGAGACGAGTAGTAGACGAGAGTATTCAGATAGCGATTATAGATACATAGATAAATACATAGATATAGATAGACTAGATATATAGATAGACAGATAGATAGATAGATATAGATAGATAGGCTAGTATAGAGAGAGATAGGCAGACAGCCAGATAGCATAACGTTAGCATAGATAGCTAGCAGCTAGATAGATAAATAGATAGAAATATAGTAGGTAGATTGACAATGGTGAGGCACGTCACATCTGGTCGCGGGGTGAGCTCCTCGACCAGCGACCAAAACGCACTCAATTCCCTACAGCACAAGCTTTCCAACGCAGTTTCCATGGGACAGCACCGCCCACACAAGCACCTGCCAAACACAGCGACAGACACGCGGCGGCTACGTTTGCAACAACATTTTCACCGGAGGAGGAGATAAACGCTTAGAAACGCCCATATAGCTAGCATGGTGCCTTCTATTTCTAGATGACAAAGACAAAGTTTACCAGTACTACGGCACTATGGTTACTGGTACTTATCTGAACTAACGTCATGATCACTGCCACTAGATATAAAGAAAACATTGATTTTTCACTCGGTGCTATTCAATGACTGTAAAAAAAATATATATGTGTCGTTATTGTGCACTGCTGCTCGTAGACTAGCTCCAGTGCTCATTGCTGCGTTGCTAAATGATAGCAACTCACCAGGACACTTCACCAACTCTCCACTCATTCTCCTCGGACCATGATTTAATTGGCTTTGACGGCCATCAGTTCTTGGCAATTCCTCATTTGCCCTCTCACGTCTGGCAGGTTCGAAATTATACGGCTGCGGGCCATCATACATGTTGGCTCTTGCCACCTCGTCCTCATCCCAGTCAGTCGCCATAGTTCTAATACTAGGCTGAGGCTACATTTCCTCCACTTCTCCCCAACGTGACGTCATCACCGAATTGCTTTAAAAAAAAACGTTAATACCAAAAACGTAAAAAAAACTGGTCTTTAAGACCATTTTTGAGACCATGTGTTCTTAAAAATGATATACATATCTTGAGTGATTTATGTACCCATTAATCGACAGTGGTGGTTAACCTGCAACCCGGCCTTTAAGTGTGATGATGAATTAATGTGTTGGGTGTGGACAGCAGTGTGTTTTGCGTCACTACACCACAAGTGAGGTTGGATCCTTTGTTTTATATTTCCTCTAGGCACCGCTTTATGATCTCACATCCTGTAAAATTGGCATCTATCCCATACACGTACTTAGTGAAGTGAGCCATTCTAGATAATGACTGTGATTAAGGTGATGAGGTTTAAACCCATTTTCCCATTTTTCCTCCATATTTGCAGAAGAATGCTGTTATTGACAGCCTACAGGAACAAGTGAACAACGCCAAGGACAAGTTGCTCAAACTGATGACTGCTAGCCACCCCTTGGATGAGGGAGAAATGGACTCCTCCAACACTAACCTCAACTCCTCCTCCACTCAAACCACGGTGGTATCTCCTGATTCTCCAACCCTTCTTCTCCAGAAATACTCAGAAGTTGCTCCCTCCAGAGCTCTCTCTCCACCTCCCTATGTACCTCCTCCACCGCTTCCCACTCACACTACCTCAAAGCAAACGTCCCCTGAAGGCTCAGTAGCTACAAATGTCCCGTCTTCTCCACCACACCTGAGGCTTCCACCTCCTAAAGTTGAGGTTGTGAGTCTGAATGGAAACACAGAAGATGGAACTCCAGCCGTGAACAATATCAGAAACTCAGGTCTTGGAAGAGAAATTTTGGAGAAGCTTTCGGATCAGGAAAAGTTAGCGCAGGGTTCCTCTTCTTTGGGTCCTGCTCGGTGTAGTTCACCTCAGGTTGAGTCTCCAGAGCCATCAGCCTCCATGGAGATTCCAGGAATGTCATCAGTGGGACGACTGGGTTTTGTAACCAATGAGCAGCTGGTGGAGATCCTGCAGGACCTGAGTATGGATGCCATAAGCAGTTCTGTCAAATCGCCCGATCGGGTTCGTAGCCCGTCCATCAAGCCAGACGATCTGAGCGTAACTCTTTCTCCTCGATCTCCTCTACAGTTCATTTTCCCCACCATCTCACCCTATCTCATGCGTAAACGCAGACCTCCGTTTTACTCCTCGAGAGGTGGACCCCCCCCTTACTATTTCCCAGGCTCGGTACCTCCAGGGCGCAGTAGGGCATCAGCTCTACCAGACCATGAAAAGTTGAGGGATGATGACTCTAAAACAACTCCCACCAGCAACCCTCAAAGACATGACTTTTGGCATGAGGGAAAGAGGAGAAAGAGGGACGAGAAAGCAAAGACTCGGCGTGGCTGTGGACAGGACAGTTGGGAATATTCTTCTCACAAATGTTCCGTTACTCCAGGACAGGTTCCTCAGCCTGCCCCCGGTGGGCTGATAGAGGGGGAGCCGTATGACTACTCAGACTCAGACTCCAGCAGCTCAGAGGACTACTGTTACTACCAGCGGTCCTTCTGCGGGGCCTGTCATCACCCCTATGACTCCACAGACAGCCTCACCTCAGGGACCTCTGACAGCGAGGACGAGGACTTCTACCGCTCAACACGTCCTGTCGTGAACTTTAAAGTCGACCTTAAACCAACCTTTGTCTGAATGGATTGCACATCCATTATTTATATATGGGTCAATGACGTGATGCTCTTTTTGTTTTGTCTGAACCTTATTAAGTTATTTAGATATACACTATAGTTTGTAATAATTGCAATGTTGATGTTTTTGAAAGAAGTCTCTTAATGTCACTAAGGCTGCATGTATTTGCTCAAAAATACAGTAAAACAGTAACATTGTTAAATATGATTACAATACTTTTTTTTTTATGGCAAAGCTGAATTTTTAGCAGCTATTTTAGCACAAGGAGTAATGATGCTGAAAAAAGAATAAATACATTTTAAAATATATTACAATTGAAAACAGTTATTGTAAATTGTAATAATATTTCACATTATTACTGTTTTTACTGTATTTTGGATTTTAAATTATTCGTAATTATTCCAAACTTTTGACCAGTGTACATTAAAAAATGCACTTAATGCAGACTTGCATACACATTTTTATTATTATTATTGACATGTTTTATTTATAACTTACATAAATGATATTTTTGATGGTGCTTAAAGTCAAAAACATCTCTGTTGTGTATAAAAAAAAGTCTCATAATGGCTGAATTGTAGACAAAAATGTAATTAAGTAGTTGAATATTAAGTATAATTAAGTGGTATAATTTATTATCATTTCTTTACTAAATCATAAAAAAATGAAATGTTTTGAAATGATTGACATCTTTAAGACTTGGCAATAGTTATACATGGTCAAATGGAATCCCTGAAAAAGATATTTTATTATAAAATCAATGATTTCTAAGAAATCCAATTATTTTAACATGTTTGAAAACTGTTCAAAGATGTGTACACATATTTTATTCATTTACTTGATGGTCAAACCACTTTTTAAAGTTTTTAGGCTCATAAAAGCTATATTATGAAATGGGTAGTACTGTGTCATAAAAGTAATGTTCATGCGTACCTATTCTCTGATTAGCATAACTAAATGAAAACGAGCCATTTTTTTGTGAGAGCCAAGAGCCAATTCCTGTGTTTAAAAAAGAGATTTGTTCTTTAAGAAAGCTATTATATCCATATCCATACACCTTTTATACATTTCAATAATTCCAAAAATGATAGGTTATGACTGATTTTTACAATCCTATTTACATACATTTGAATTTAGAAACACTGTGCAAAACCTAAAAGACATTAGATAAGGAATATGCAAATATTGTCAAAAAAAGGAAAGAATAAAAAAAAAACAATCAGCTGTGAAGTTAGCTTTTAGTGTGTTTTGTATTGAATTCTTATGTGATGTAGTGCCTTTTTAAGTTGCTCTTACAGTTCAATAGGCTATCAATTAAATATTTCCAATTGATAAATCTTTTTCATGCAATATTAAAAAGCTTTATTGTGTGCTACACAAAACATTTGTCATTGCTTTGAAGACACATTTTGTGAATACTGGTTTGAATGTAAGTCTGTCTCTTTCAGAATGCTTTATTTTTGGTGTGTTCCGTTTTGTTTGATAGAAGAGAATATGTTTACCAAGGCTGTTATATATGTGTTTATCTCCTTATTTATCTAATTTAAACTTTAAGGAGCAGGAAATGTGACTGAAGAACTTGAGCTGCATCTTTCGTTATTTGTCCAAACAGTGTTTTTTTTAAACATATTATTTTATTGCATTTGTGTAAAAACTTAAGGATGTGATTGTGTTGTTTAAGTCCCTCTTGTAAACAAGTTTTTCTCTATAAAACTAAATTTATTGAATCAGTCTTAGTCATCAATGAACATCTACAAACCAACAGTTTTTAAGTACAACCAACTTAGCTGTTTAAGTCATCTCAACTTAAACTAGATTAAACTGACTTAGTTGAATCTTGTATAACATAAAAAAGTAGAAAATTGCTTAACTTGTTTTGACGAGTTAAAGCAATAAAAAAAAAACTTGTTGGGATAACTTATTGACCATATAATTATTTACAGTGCATGAACATGATCGCATACACTAAAAGACTGAATGTAAGTGATGAGATGTGTTCTTATCTTTGTGTTTGTGCATGTCAATAAATGTGTACAACTGTTTATACATCTGTGCATGCATGCATACACAATTGCCCCAGGAAGTATTTGCATTAAGGCAAAAAGGAAAATCGCAACTTGCATTACTTGCATCACTTGTTCTATTGCAGATAGGGCTATTTGTGAAACATCATTGTAAAATGTGCTCAAAGCAACTAGATCACATTGCAGAAAATAGTAGAAAAGAAGCACACATTGTGAAATATTCTGCATAACACGCAGGTTGTACAGTACACTGGTTACAAATGGAACATGCACTGTAGATCTGAACCACAATAATGTTGATGGCGGGGTAAAGGAGAATCTCTCCGTCCACGAAATGTAAATAAGCAATTTTCTTCTGCGTTATGTAAGCCCACTGCAGGAATGTGCAAACATTTTTAGCTGAAACATGCCTATGTTATGTACACCATCCCTGCATTTGGATATTTATACTTCTCTGCTAGGCAAAAAGTGGTGTGAACAGAATGTCTGAAAACTTTACTAATGCGTTTAAAAGCAGTCTGATTCAAAAAGTAAAACTTTATCTTTTAAAATGTCCTTTCTAAAAATGCCTATCTCTTGCATACATTCAGAAGGTCTTCCAGGTTTGTGGAATTGCACACACACACACACACACACACAACATGAGCTGAACACAAAACACAGCATTTGATCACTGGATTTACAGAACAAAATTCACTTTTTAACAAGTGTTATCTCAACATATCTAATCAACTCATGACGAACACATTAATTACTATTTGAATTATCACAGTGATTCATTTAACCATACTGTACTGTCTTTGGAAGGATTTTGTCTTCCAAAAACATTAAATGTATAAATTCCTGTCATTTTATAACATGCAATGCAGGGATTCCACAACTTTTTTACAATATCACCTATATTTACTTGAACTAGCACATGAGAATTTAACTTAATAAGTTAGGTCATAAGATTAAGTCAATAATACTAATACTACTAATAATAATGAATACAATTAAGTTCACATGTCGGTTAAAGGTGCTCTATGGAACTTTTAGCGGCCTCTAGTGGTGATGTTTCAGATTGCAACAAGAGCGCTCGTGCTCGTGTGCGTGTGCGATCTCAGGAGCGAGCATTCACTACCGGCCACACGGAGACTTTCAATGCAACGGCGAAAGCATCACACAACATGCTGGAAACTCATGTAAACTCCCACTGTAACGTTACAATAATAGGCTACTTTTATCAGCTTGACGTTGAACTAATGCTCCATGCTCGTACCATGATAACGTTACATTGACTGCATTTAGGCGACATGTGATGTTATCTAGCATACGGCATTTCACTAACTATTCGTGTATCTTTCACAATCAGCAATGTCAACATAGATGAATGTATAATATGATAACGAAAACGGTGAACTAGACTGAACAATGTCAGTGTAACAGTAAGACAGTAGGATAACATTACTGTACTGAACGTCTCTGGAAATGTTTATTATAAACAATATGATAGTGGGATAAATTACGTTATAGCGTAACGATCCATAACGTAGATCTAGTACATAAAACAAGTATCCTAAAGCACCTTTTCTTATCCTGGAACAGTCTTTTGTATTCATTCCATGTCTCATGTAGTTTACCTTGCTATTTCATTTGAGTTTACTAATAATTCAAAAGCTCTGCCGATGTTGATCCGTGTTTTCGTCCTGAGTCGATCAGAATCACGTTTGGCCTGACGAGCTTCAGCAGATAAAACTTTGTTTTGTTTTTTATATTTATGTGGTGTTTGTGTTGGAGTATGTGTTGTGCTGGAGGCAGGTCGTTTTGGGGTGTTATCAGACTCCATGTAGTTAGCTGAAGTGCCGTCGGTCGCATAGACTGTATATAAGGAGAGAGGCTCGGGAGCGCGCATGCACGTCACATCCGATGGATTTCGCTGTAAATCCGACCCGGAGACTTCACATATAAATATGAATATTGGCCTTCAGAGGTAATAGCAAAACCCGACAAGTGGATCATTGTAATGTGTGATTACAACCCCTTCACACACAGGCAATAAAAAAAGGATTCATTTTAGAAGGAAAGTTCCATATAGCACCTTTAATGGTTAGCTACATGACAGGTAAACAACTAATATATATATATATTTTTTTTTATATAATTTTTTTTAATGTAAAATTGTATGATTTAATTACTTATAGGTTTTCATTAAACACTGCAGTTCCACCAATTAAACACTGACGTAATGTAATATGTAATGCTCTGTCATGTGAATATGCAATTCAAAGATTGGAATATATTTTCTTTCTCTTTGTTTTTATATCAATATGGTACAAGATTATCCAATTCAAATGTAGAAAACGAGTTAGGTCAAGAGTAATCTAAAAGTCATCAAAACGTCGGATTATATTACCTTCAATGTGTCATATAATGGATTATGTTACTAACTGCAATTTTTTTGTCATGCAATTTGCAATCAATAATCGACTACAATTTGTAATATAGCACTGCTGGCTTCTCACTGCCCCACATCTGCCATCACTAATGTCAAACACAGTGTTCCACGTTTAGTGTTCTATCATGAACATGGAACTCCTTGTTCCATGTAAAAGCCAGACACACTTGCAAATCACAGCAGTTTTGGTTTAACTAGTTAAAAGGTCAGTAATTCTGCTGTCTGTGACACTACAGCATCCACCTCTCTTTTCAGCACTGTATAAGATGCACATTCACTGTCAATGTTTCAATGACCTGACAATATTGACATAACTTGGATGCAAATCACTTGTTTGCTTTGGAGGATTGTAAAATATTGTTGTAAAAGATATTAGGGTCATTCTCCCTTTGAAGCACATTTTCATATTACCATCATATGCTGTATTCCTTAATATATTGGATGAAATGTTAAACTCACTATTTTTTTAAGATGGAAATTATTGTAATTATTTTTTAAAGTTTTTATTAATCACAATTTCACAATTAAGTGAACATAAAGGTCATTTTTAAGCCTTTGACGGTGACATGCTCTCAGAATGAGACATTTGAAATGATCCATATTATTAGATATTGAATCACTGCGTTCTTGTTTTGAAGTGTCAAATTTTTTTTTTTTAGATCAGTGTTGTTATTGTTAACTAAAACAACAACTACTAAATACAATAATGGTTAAATAAAATAAGATGGAAATATTAGATGGAAATTTTAAAACATAAATCAGAAATGTTGCCTTGGAAACGTACTGAAATAAAATAAGTAGTAAAATTTCTAAAACTTAAATACATTTAAGCTAAAATATTTAGAAATCTAATAAAAATCACAAAATGACTAAATATAAAAATAAAATAAACACGTTAATAGTAGGCTATATAAATAATATAAAATAACACTGATGAAATTATATAGCTTATATTTTTATTTTATTTAAGATTTAAAAAACTTCATGCATCACAGGGTTAATAATCACAGTGAATTTCGTCATTTTGTCCTGTCCTCAAATTGGCAGTTTAAGACAAATGATAAGTGTTTCTTCACTGTTTTCCTTTCTTTAATCTAAATCTTTCAAATAAAAGATGCTTTTCTGAGTAAAGACTATTCCTTTAATTCATTAAAAAATTTTATATATCACTTTACATGGTTTCTTTTGTAATATTTTAAAAAAAAGCTTTAGTTTGTTTCAGTTGGTTACTAATTACATAAGTATTAAAAGATTTGTGGAAAACATGAGTGATTTATAAATCACACTGTGCCAATGGCAAAGCATCGGGACAGAATAGATCACAGGAGCTCAGCTGACTAGCAACAGTGCAGCTTGGTTACTTTTGCGCATTTGATGCTTCCTCAGGATTGGACTGTTTCCTTTCCTCGGTTACGCTTATTGGATGATTTTACAATCAGTCTTCCCACGCGCCCGCCCACTTTCGACTTCCGCGCGTCATCCATGGCTGCAGAACTCTGACAGATTGGCAAATTACGCCATGTGTTCTGCGGACAAAAGCATTCGATTGGCGGAGAAGCTCGCCTTTGCTCCGCCCATCTACAAAGAAAGGCGCTGGATTGGCTGGCTCAGACCTCCCCAGGACTTCCTGCGCGTTCACAGTTTCCGATTCTTGACGCCGCGATGTGGCGTAACCCCGTCTGTGCTCCCGTTCAACTCCATTACCACCATTGCGCACATTACGTAGTTTACGTTAATCGGTTGGAGTGACAAAGAGAACGAGCACAGACCGACGGAGAAGAAATAAAAAAAAGGAAATTTCTGAATTACCGTGGGGATTCTGATCACCGTTTCCTTTAGGAACCGCACTTTTTGGCTCGTTTCTTGAACTACCCGTGTGTATATTGGATTTCTTATTACGTCGTCCGTGTGCATGGAGTTAAGTGGGTCGGAACGGCCGAGGATATCAGTCTTGAAATTGGGCAATTGGAAAATTCTCATTCGTTTCGTTGGTTAGAGCAAGGAAGCCGCCATGGCTGGTGCTACTGGATCGTTGAGTCTCCACCTCAGTATATGAAAAATACTGCATGGTGATGAAAAACCACTCCAGTTTCTCAGCGATTTGAGGGTATATTAGGGAAAACGGACTATGTTCTTTGTGTAAATCTCTGTCCCAGCCAGAGAAAGAGAGAGAGAGAGACGAGGATCGGTGGGGTTCGAGGGAAACTGGGAAAAGGCCAATTTCATGAGCACCTTCATTCATGAGCGAATTCATCCGAGGTTTCATCACGGAAGATAATAGTAACAGTCAAAGAAAAAACGATCCGGTGGAAAATGTTCTGAAAGCGAGACGGTTGAAAGCTCACTGAAGAAAAACCATAGCGAAGGAACCCCGGACAGTCGAGAGTCGAAATTTTTCCTCATTATTTAAGTAGGAGATAAACTGGTTCCAGTGGGTCGAAAAACGGATTCGTTCAAGACAAACAAGCGTATATTACTCTGAGAGACGCGTGGGATTTCGGATTGGAAAATGTCCGGTCGGCCTAGAACCACCTCCTTCGCCGAGAGCTGCAAGCCCGTGCCGCAGCCCTCGGCTTTCGGCAGCATGAAAGTCAGCAGTAAGTATCATTTTCGGACACCGGGGAATCTGCTTTTAGTGCTTTGGTCGAGGGTTCTCGTGCTGTTGACCGTACCTGCTCGCTTTAATAACCGAGAATGGCGCATCTGTGCACAGTCAGGCACATGAGCTGAGATTTAAGTGCCTTCAAGTGTCACCTTTGGGTGAAATATGACGTGCCCCATTTTAAATCTGCCAGCGTGCTTTATTCCACAGCTGAACATATACCAGGGCCCTGCCATGGGTTACAGGGGCCTGACTGGCACTGATTCAGTGCAGGTGGGTGGCGAGTGAACTCTTTCTGTGCGTTTTATTGTAAGGAAGGTCTTGACATTACAGGAGACTGAATCAGTGCTGAATCAGCCTGGAGATGAACACATCAATATGTAATCTGCCTGCCATGGGCTGTAGTTAGTCCTCTGGCAATAGCTGTAATACAATTTATTCCTTAAAATTACCTAGCACATCTTTTCTGATAGTAGTAACGTTACTAGGCTATATATATATATATATATATATATACACACACACACATATATATATATATATATATATATATATATATATTATATATAATTTATAATAGATATACATTTTGTATCTTGTACTTATTTTAAAATTACTGTTATTGACTAGTTTCTTTTTCAATTGTATCTATTTCATTAGATTTTTATTACATAGGCTTCTAGTACTTATGCCTTTGTGTTCTTTGTAACAAATTGTAAATTTCGTCATTGAATCTGTGGTTCAATATTAAATATTCGCCTCCGACTACTGTGTATTCCAGTTGTTGCTGGCACCCAGCTTTATTGCTACGTGTTATACTTGTATTATGAGACTAGTAACTATCCCAGATGTTGTGATATGTAATTACTAGTCAGAATGGCTGCTTTATAGTTTGATTTTAATCTTACTTATAATATGTTATTAGTAGCATTGAAGTAGCCTACAAGTAAAATAAAACAAATACTAATGTCTATTTAAATTCGTATTATAAATGATATAAATATACTAGATTTAAATAGTTACAAGGAACTAAAAATAGGTGCTGCTGCTTAATTTGGGTATAGGCAATATGATCAGAATTGTATGTCACGATATGACTTATTTTATTTTACAATAACAATTATATAACACAATATAATTTTTTAGTGTGTGCTTGAAAGGTTTTTACAACTGAGGACAAGTAAACAGTAATCAAATGAGAACAAAAAAACTAATTACGAGCAATAGGACAAATAAAAAAAAACAATAGAAACAAATATGCATATAAACAATGCTTGATTTTTTTTCAGATAGGTCCATCAGAAATATTAGAGAAACTGAATGAAGTAATCAAATGTAAAAAGAAAACTGCATAGTCGTCACTGTTTGAATTGTTTTTCTAATTAAAGCTACAAAAGCTATTCAGTCAAGAGCAGCGATTAATGCAATGATCCAATATATTGACAGACACATACATGATTTTCTGTTTACATTTTACGACTATTTAAGATACCGACTGGGTTTACATGTATTGATGTAAATATATTTCTTTGACATTTTTTTTTTGTGTAATTGTAATTCAGATGCTGTGACGGTGCGAGTACTGAATTGAATTCTCTTTCACGGCTTATTGCGCGGGACTGTTCATAATGGAAAAAAACTGGCAAGGCTTAAAAACCCATACAAATTATACACTTTCATAATGACGCAACACTGCTATGTCATGTGAATGTAACCGCTATATTAGAGACCATAATCGTTACCGGTTGACACATTTCCAATTTATCATGTCTACCAATATTTTGCCCACCCCTAATATTTAATATGTAGTAGCTAATAGTAAATCTGAAATAGGTTCTAGCAACAAATGAAATACTTAATAGTCGGAAGTAAATCGTAGAAAAGTGAATCTTTATAAAAATTCAATGGCTATAATTTGGGATAGTGACAAGTACAAAAAAAGAAGAACTAAAGAATACGTACCAGTTACTAACTGAATGAATATTAGCTAATTGGAATAAGAGTATCTAATGAATAGTTACTAATGAAACAGGTAAACAAGTTACTTCTAGTAATTAAATAAGTATACTGGTAACAAAAACTAGTTAGTTTAAAATAGTAAGTGTTGAAATGGCTTGCCGTACACATCTTGTTCTATAACCCTTACCTTTTTGAAAATAAAATTCAGAAAGGGTTGTTGTGGGACCTTCTGATCATGTGGCCATTTAGACACAACTTTGTAACAAACTCGATCTCATGTGTTTTAATCATAATAATGTTTTTAAAGATAATTTATTTAGCTTTTCAGACCCAGCTCACTTACGGTAGTTCCATTACCCTCCTTGCTTGAACTTCATATTGTTTATATATTTGTTTTTGCCTATAAACTAACAGTAATTACATGAAATGCTTCGATAAAAGTGCCTTAAAGTGTCCAGATTGACAGCACTGGAGGTTTTCTTTTTGAATCTGGTTTGAGTTAAGTAGTGGTTTATCCTACCACCTAAACTACACTCTTGACCCAGAAATATTCACAAGCAGGAATCATCAGTAACCTATAAATAGCTAATTTTAGTTTACCTCAACAGCCATTGCAACCATAATATGATGGATGCTGTTGTTGTGGTACTACAGCTGTGCCATCTGTTTTCAGACAGATGCGTTTTTGTCCCCTCTTCTGTCATATTAATAGAGATAGGAATGCGCCCATTCAGACTTGTTCTCTCAGACTTCATATGTGCAGCCTAATGTTTTCTTATTTGTTCATTCACAGTGTGACAATAGTGAGTTATTTTGGGATATAATGTAGTATTGTTCATTTAAGTCAACATAAGGTCAAAATAGACCCTATTCACTTTCTAATTTTGAAAAGCAACATGGCATCATGACTTTGCGTAAACATAAACGCCACTTTCAAGTCAAGTGGCGTGTTATCTATACGCATTTTGAGCTATCCGCGTGTATGTCCACGCCGAAACGAACCGTCATCTTTTGCGTGTATGTCTACGCCGTTAAATGTCAGAGTGATTCCGCGTGTATGTCTACGCCGTTAAATGTCCGAGCGAAACGAAGCAAAATGTAGATCTACATCTGGGGAGCGATATTTTTTTTCCTAGGATGGTAGGGGAAGACTCATAAATGGTATTAACCCCAGTGACGGGTAGGTTTAGGGACGGGGTTGGGGTAGGTCATATATTTATAAATACAGTAATGTAACGTTAAGTCAACGGCGTTGATAAACACGCTGAATAGCGATTATGCGTGTTGATAGCACGCCAAAAATGGAAATACGAATTGGCATGTCATACATACGCCACTTCATGAGATCAGTCTGTGAAAAGAGTCATTTGATAAATATTATTCCATTTGTCTAGGCAATCTTTTATCAAAATTGAATTATGTGCGTTGCCAGTAAAACGTCTTTACCTCTCGGCTGACGTCCCTCTTTTCAACTCCTCCCCTCAAACCACTTGGCTTTTTTCTAGTATGTAGCTCATAATATACAATGCACATCACCTTGTTTCTCAAAGAGTCTGAAAACTGTTAATTTGAAAATTCAATCTCTCCAAACCCCTCCTTTCCGAGAGCTACTCTGCTCTGATTGGTCAGAAGGCTCAGTCTGTTGTGATTGGTCTACTCTGCTCTGATTGGTCAGATGGCCGAGTCTGTTGTGATTGGTCTACTCTGCTGTGATTGGTCTACTCTGCTCTGATTGGTCAGATGGCCGAGTCTGTTGTGATTGGTCTACTCTGCTCTGATTGGTCAGATGGCCCAGTCTGTTGTGATTGGTCTACTCTGGTCTGATTGGTCAGATGGCCCAGTCTTTTGTGATTGATCTACTCTGCTCTGATTGGTCAGATGGCCCAGTCTGTTGTGATTGGTCTACTCTTCTCTGATTGGTCAGATGGCCCAGTCTGTTGTGATTGGTCTACTCTTCTCTGATTGGTCAGATAGCCCAGTCTGTTGTGATTGGTCTACCACTTACAACACGAGTCGGAAACAAAACGCCTATACCATATCTGAATATCCGCAGTGCTTGATACACAGTAATACGAACAGCAGCGATGGCGTAGTTTTTTCCATATCAATTTCAGCGCTAGTCCTCATCCTTTTGAAATGCATGCAAAGTGGATTTGCAGGGCGGGTCAAAGTAGACATTGTTTCGCCATCAGCCAATGAAGACCATAGGCTGGCATTATGCAAATGTGTTACATTATTATGTAGGTAGGTATGTAACAGGAAGTTTTTGACTTCTTGATCTTTATAACTTTGCAGACCTATAACATTCACAAAAATCTATTTCACACTGCATGAATATTCAAAAAAAGCATAATAGGGGCACTTTTCATTCTCATTTTGTGCTGCAAATGTAGTTCATCATCTAAGATCTTCAGGATATTCAAGAAGATCTTCAAGATCTTCATTGATCTTCATTCACCCAGTTGATCAGATTTGTGCAGTTCAATAATCTGAGCTGATTTTTTGCTGTCCAAAGCTCCGTCCAGGCACCTCTTTGGATTTGGTAAGGCGGGTGTCACCTTTCACCCCGCTCCATTATCATCTGCCTCTGTCAGCTTCTGTGGATGTGTCTGTGGAAGCTTTCCTGCACCCTCAGCACAACTCCTTGTATCTTTGCATGTGTACATCCATACCTTCTTTTCAACAGTAAGGGCTGAAGGCATCAATGCTTCACCAACAATATTTTTTTCTTAAACAAATTTGCCAAATTCTCAGTATAAATTATTTAAGAGACCAATTGGCTTAAAGACCTCATAAAAAAAAAAAAAAATTCTGGTCCATGTCTTATACGCATTAGGTGGGTCAATTTTTTTAGTATTGGCAAAAAATAACTGTTGATTGTTTATTTTTTCTGTGGGTGGCACTTTGTATCGGTATTTCATGATTATTAGCAGAATGTAATAAGAAAAGGCACACATAGAGCTTGGACATGATTGAAGTTGGAGTTGATTTAATATACGTCCTATTTCTGGCTTGTTTACAGTTAAACGCTCTGAA